TATTTTGTAGTTACTGCTTTTAATAGGATTTTAGTTTTGTGATAGGGTCTCTTTAAAGGATCAATTTTCACTCAGTAGCCCCCAGACAAGAGCAATATCCAGTGACAAGCTAGGGAGAGAATAACGAGCGGTCAGCAAAGCACAGGAGACAAGGTCGAGCGGTCAGCAAAGCACAGGAGACAAGGTCGAGCGGTCACCAAAGCACAGGAGACAAGGTCGAGCGGTCACCAAAGCACAGGAGACAAGGTCGAGCGGTCACCAAAGCACAGGAGACAAGGTCGAGCGGTCACCAAAGCACAGGAGACAAGGTCGAGCGGTCACCAAAGCACAGGAGACAAGGTCGAGCGGTCACCAAAGCACAGGAGACAAGGTCAAGCGGTCACCAAAGCACAGGAGACAAGGTCAGCGGTCACCAAAGCACAGGAGACAAGGTCAAGCGGTCACCAAAGCACAGGAGACAAGGTCGAGCGGTCACCAAAGCACAGGAGACAAGGTCAAGCGGTCAGCAAAGCACAGGAGACAAGGTCAAGAGGTCACCAAAGCACAGGAGACAAGGTCGAGAGGTCACCAAAGCACAGGAGACAAGGTCAAGCGGTCAGCAAAGCACAGGAGAAAAGGTCGAGAGGTCACCAAAGCACAGGAGACAAGGTCGAGAGGTCACCAAAAGCGCAGGAGACAAGGTCAGGAGCGGTCACCAAAGCGCAGGAGACAAGGTCAAGCGGTCAGCAAAGCACAGGAGACAAGGTCAAGCGGTCACCAAAGCACAGGAGACAAGGTCGAGAGGTCACCAAAGGACAGGAGACAAGGTCAAGAGGTTACCAAAGCACAGGAGACAAGGTCAAGCGGTCAGCAAAGCACAGGAGACAAGGTCAAGCGGTCAGCAAAGCACAGGAGACAAGGTCAAGCGGTCAAGTCAGCAAAGCACAGGAGAAAAGGTCGAGAGGTCACCAAAGCACAGGAGACAAGGTCAAGCGGTCACCAAAGCACAGGAGACAAGGTCAAGCGGTCACCAAAGCACAGGAGACAAGGTCAAGCGGTCACCAAAGCACAGGAGACAAGGTCAAGAGGTCACCAAAGCACAGGAGACAAGGTCAAGCGGTCACCAAAGCACAGGAGAGGTCAAGGTCGAGTCGGTCACCAAAGCACAGGAGACAAGGTCGAGCGGTCACCAAAGCACAGGAGACAAGGTCGAGCGGTCACCAAAGCAAAGCACAGGAGACAAGGTCAAGCGGTCACCAAAGCACAGGAGACAACAAGGTCGAGCAAGGTCAGCGGTCACCAAAGCACAGGAGACAAGGTCAAGCGGTCACCAAAGCACAGGAGACAAGGTCGAGAGGTCACCAAAGCACAGGAGACAAGGTCGAGTGGTCAGCAAAGCACAGGAGACAAGGTCGAGCGGTCACCAAAGCACAGGAGACAAGGTCAAGCAGTCACCAAAGCACAGAAGACAAGGTCTAGTGGATAGCCAAGATCAGTAACTTGAGAGTAGAGCGGTATAGACCAGTAAACAGAAGCAGGTTAGGTGAACAGGGTGACCAGAGGTTCAGAGGCATAATCCAAGACAAGGTTAGAAACATAAGCCAGGTTTAACACAACATCAGGTCAAGCAAAAGACCAGTTGAAGGCCACTCAACAAGGTAGCTGAAGAGTGCTGGGTCTTAAGTAGCCCACTTGACACCAGTATGGAAAATGAACATGCACCAACAAGGATGGGCCATGCAGTGAACAGCCACTCTTATGAAGAGATGCGTGTCCAGCCATGTCTCCAGATGATAAATCGTGTACCAGAGAACATGCACAGGTGCTTAGGCAAGCTGACTAATATGTCTTCTTTTACACCCATTCAGAACCCAGTCACAGTGTCTGAGTACTAGGCAGCAGGGAGTAAGCTGTGACCAGGGGTGGACTGACAACTCATGGGGCCCCTGGGCAATAGGGGATCATGGGTGTCAAGGTCCTACCTTTTCCCTGAGGTTATGTTACTCCATGTGCTGGCGTCCATCTTGGATTCTGCTGTGCATGGTGGGAATCCTTTTATGCCTTCAGGTCTCTGTGGTCCATCCCCCAGAGGGGTGTGGCTGATGACATATAAGCCTGTGGCCCGCACATGCTCTTTGCACTTGTGTCTTGTGTCTTTGTGTTGCTATTACTCTGTTCTGACTCTCGTGACTCTCCTGGTATCTGATTCGGCTTGTGACTCGACTATTCTTTGTATTCTCCTTTGATCTGACCCTCTGTTGCTGAACCCGGCTCGTGACCTGTGATTCTCGTCTGCTGCCCTGTACTGTTTTGTCCTGTTGTTGTTGACCCGGCTTGTCTGACTACTTTTTTGTCTCTTCCACCAGCTACACGCCATTGGCGGCGGCCATTACCGCAGCTGAGGTGTCTCGGGGGCCGCGACCTGGTTCCTGGCTGCGTCAAGTCCATCCCCACCATCAGGGGCCCTGGTGAAGGGCAGCCTGGGACTTAGACTCCGCGCCCTGAGGGACTTCGGTCTGTGGGTGGTGGTTGTCGTCAGCCAGTGCGTTACATTGTTAGGCCTGCCTGTCCGTTCCTCGGCCCCTGCCCTGACATTGGGGCCCCTGTGTCCTTGCCCAAACTCAAAGCACACCCAAAAAAAGCCTATTAAAAAGGTACCAGGGGCATCTCATGGGGCCCCCCTTATTGACCACAGGCCCTCGGGCAGTGCCCAAGTGCTCGAATGGTCAGTCCGCCCCTGGCTGTGACATTATCTGCAGTTACCTGTGCACTGGGAGGGAACAGACAAGCTGGAGCGCAGAGGGAGTGGGAATGCCAACAGTGCCCAATGGACTCTGAAGCTGCCTGCAGTGGAAGATGGAAATTGAAGTCTGAGCAGGGAGAATTAAGGGTGGCATTACGCAATTGTTATTTTTATTGGCTTTAATTTATAAAATGCCAACATATTATGCAGTTCTATCCATTGAAAAAAAAAAGAGATTAAAAAAACTTTCAGCCAAAAAAAAGATATAACAAAGAAAAAAAAAGAGCCTCGTTGAAATTGTATTTATTTATTTCAGGTACTTCTATAGCGCCGTCAATTTACACAGCACTTATATATATATACATATATATATTGTACGTTCACATCAGTCCCTAACCCTCAAGGGGCGTACAATCTAAGGTCCCTAACTCACATTAATACATACACATACTAAGGCCAATTTAGACAGTATCCACTTAGCCTATCAGCATCAGTCTTTGGAGTGTGGGAGGAAACCAGAGTACCCGGAGGAAACCCACACAGGCACAGGGAGAACATGCAAACTGTAGGCAGGTGGTGCCGTGGTTGGGATATAAGTTTATAGTCAAGAAATTAGGGACTGATTAAAGGAGCATATGATTGGGAAAGACAAAGTTTCAGGGAAACAGAGGCCCTCTTTTTTCACCTTGATCCCTCTGTGTCCCAAAATGTTGAATGCTTTGACACAAATTGTAAGTAAAATTTTCAAAGAGCTGGCCTTTACTTAAAATTACCTCTGATAGTGAGACCATTGGCAGGTGCATCCAGGACTTTTAGAAGGAGGTGTAGTAAAGGTGGAAGTAATAAGACATAAGTAAGATTATAAAACAGCAAGATAATCAACTGGGGAATTTTTATCGTTGTCAAGAAGTGAATTTGCAAAAACGTGGAATAGGTATTTGGTGGCCTCTTGCCAGAGACATATTTTGGAGGAAAGGGCATCCAAATTTTCAAGGAAACAGAGGCCCCTTTTCTCACCTTGATCCCTCTGTGTCCCAAAAATGTTGGCTACCTTGACACAAGTTTTAATCAAAATTTTCAAAGACATTGTGTGAAGTGCTGACCGTTTCTTACAATTGCTTCTGGTAGAGCAACCATTGGCAGGGGCACCCATGACGCTTAGAAGGAGGTGTAGTGAAAGTGGAAGCAGTACGACATAAGTAGGATCGAGAAATAGCAACAGAATGTAGCCGTTTCCTTAGAGCTCAATTTTAAATTTGCTGTTGGCAGTAAAGACAGAGTGCGTTTCATTGACTGGTGAATGAGCCTTAATTATATATGTCTGCTACTTCCTTTCACCTGCCATGCTTAGTTGTTAGCCTCCAGTCCTTCCACTTTAACATTTCCGTTAGGGCTAATTTTCTTTTGACCAGTGTTCTTGAACCTTGGGGCCAAATGGTCAGGCTGTCATGAAGAGCCCTTGTGAAATATTTATCTTCTCCTCTGCCAGTGCAATTCCTAAACCCTGCTGTATCCAACATTCTGTGAGTAAGAGGCACTAAATAAAACAGTTATTGTAAATTATTATCTGGAACTGGGAATAACAATATACTGTATTTTTTGATGCTGCCCAGAGGCACTTCCAGTCTAAGGCTGGAGATATCAAAGTTTAGTCTGAAGTCCTCCCCTACAGCAATCTTGAAGCTCATCATGGGCATCTATAGATCAATATCCCTAAATCAATAATTTTCTCCTGGTCACCTGGTAATGATGGATTCTGATCTTTCCACATGAAAAGTGTATATACACAGATGATGACAGAGAGAGGAGGACGTGAGCTTTGAGTGATGTGGTGAAAGCTGAGATCTGTGTAGTTTACGACGCAGTAATTTATGGTTTCTCCTTCCAGCAAAATACATACAAAAAAAGAATAAAAACATTTTTTCTCAAGTAGTCATTATGGCCACTGTGTCAGGGATCTCCTCGATCCCTGCCGCGATGGTCCCGGCGCAGGCGCAGTGCACCGCCCTGTGCAGGGACACGGGCACTAGGTCCGGGCCGGCCGCGGCGTTCGAGTTCGCGCATGCGCAGTAGAAGCCGCGGCCGCGCCCGCTGGGCACCAATGGCAGCGCAGGGCGGGATATTTAAATGGCCCTGAGCTGTCATTCAGTGCCTTCTGGTCTTCCCTGCATCCTGTGAACCTGTGATCCTGTACCCCTTGTAAGTTTTGACCCGGATTGAACCTGACCTTGCTGCTTTCTCCTGCTCTGACCCTTGCTTTGCCTGACCTCTCTCCTGGATGCCCCCTATTGGATTTGACCTGCTGTTGCTGACCTGGCATGTGACCCGACCATTCTATGCCCGCTGCCTTGTACCTTGCCGTCCTCTCTGTTACCGACCCGGCCCGTCTGACCTTGCTCATCCATCCATCCATTCCTTGCAGTGGGGTCTTCCGACCTCCTCACATCGTAGTCACGACCTGGTCTCAGGGAGCTCCAAGTCCATCCCCACCATCAGGGGCCCTGGTGAACAAGCATCCTGGGACTTAGATTCCGTGCGCTGGGGACGCCTATTCAGTGGAGTGCTAGTAGTACCGCCGGGCGGTCCCTTACACACTGCATGTCCTTAACGCTTCTAGGCAAGTTTTTAGAAATCTTAGGTAAAAGAAGCAAAGGATAAAACCTCTGTAGGGTTTATAATGCTGTTAGTTGGGGAGATTTCCCTTCATTTCCTGCCCTGGTGAACCAGTACAATAAACTTTCCTAAGGAGCAGGGGTGGACTGACAACTCATGGGGCCCCCGGGCAATAGGGAATCATGGGGCCCCTGCATCCTTGCCCAAACTCAAACAAGCCTATGAAAAAGGTACCAGGGGGCATCTCATGGGGCCCCCTACTGACCCGGGCCCTCGGGCAGTGCCCGAGTTTCCAAAATGGTCAGTCCGCCCCTGCTAAGGAGAGGTGAACATGAAGCGTTGGATACAGATCCCAATATATAATGTAAGTAGTCCTTATATAGCCAAAGCAGCAGCCCCTCTTAAAAGACAAAGGTCAGCCTATGTACCTTTCCTATCCTCTAAATCCAACATATAAGCTACCCTCTGCCCCTTATGTGGTACACCTTGTCCAAAGTTGGCTCGCCGCCTTTGGTCATGCTGCCATATAGCAGCTTTCTGGGACCAGGTGATTAACTTCATCTTTGGAGTAACACAATGTCTCATCCCTAAGGACCCCATTTTGTTACTCTTTGGGTATGAAAGCTTGACACTTTAACCACTAAGTTGCAGGACTGCCTCATCTTCTGGTCCTCACCACTGGATCTTAATATGTCTGTGGCTTGCAGGGCCATCTTGAAAAAATAAACAACTCCTACTCTCCCAACCATGACGGACGTCAAAAGAGAGACCTAAAAAAACCTTATTATATAGGGAAAAGTTGGACTCACAACTCTTTCAACACAACGTTTCACCTCCAGGAGGCCACCCTCTCCACTACAGAAGCCTTACATCTCTCAACATCTTTTTTGCTACAATAAGGAACTTCCATACTTCCAGAAACATTTTCTCTGGTGACTGACATGGGATACAACTAAGCTCTGCTCTACAAGCAGTTTGGTCTATTTCCTTACTGAACTAACTGGCAAAATGACTATCAATACAATACGCTGGTCTGGCCTTAATCTATTAACTATAAGGTCCCTTTCACATGGGTGTTCCATATGTTAGTTTTTCATCTGTCTGTCCGGACACCTATGTATTTCTATGGACTAGCGGATGTAAACGGATAATCGTCTGTTTACATCCATTAATGTCCGCATCCGTTAACATCCGGACATAAAGAACACCCGTATGAAAATGGCCTATTTTTCTTCCATTGATGGCTGTGCACAGCACAGCCATCCAGAGCAATGTGCTTACAGTGAAGCACCAACACACCGCCCCCCAGTAAAACACTCCCAGCACACAGTTAACCCTTTGATTGCCCCTCATGTTAACCCATTAGTGCCATTAGTACAGTGTCAGCGCTTTTTTTTGGGATGGGGGGGATGTTAGTGACACCAAGTCAGTTCCCCCCAGTGTCAGAATGCCCGCTGCAGTCCTGCTATAAGTTCGCTGATTGCCTCCATTACTAGTAAAAAAAAAAAAAATTCCAGAATCTATACCGCCATTTGTAAACGCTATAACTTTCATTTTAAACCAAATAATTTACATGTATTGGGATTTTTTTAACAAAGACATGTAGCAGAATACATTTTGGTGTAAATTTATGATGAAATTTGATTTTTTAAATTTTTTTAGTGAACATGTTTAATTGCAAAAAGTCAAAAATATTGTTGTTTTTTTTCCCAAAATTGTGGGGGGTTTTTTTGTAGCACAAAAAAATAAAAAAAACACAAGGCAATCAAATACCACCAAAGAAAGCTCAATTCGTTGGAAAAAAAGGACGTAAATTTAATTTGGGTGCAGCGTTGCATGACTGCACAATTGTCAGTTAAAATAACGCAGCGCCGTAATGCAAAAAATGGCCTGGTCAGGAAGGGGGTAAATCCTCAGGAGGGCAAATGGTTAACATATCACATCTAAAACATATCTTGCAAATATACAAAATTGCATTGCACAATTGGACACAACATGTTTCCCCCCCACCAACCAAAATGACAGGCTAATTCCAAAGGAAGTTAGGTAGAGATGGTCAACACAGTTTACTTCTTTCAGAGGGTGGGGAATATCCAAGCTGTGTGAAACACGCCCAACATGTTTCGTGACTGGAGTCACTTATTTGCAGGCTAGCAACTCATCTAAAAAAATGACCAAATTTTAACAGGAATCATTGTAAAATAAAACAAGAATTACAGCATACAATTGCAAGAAAAAGTATGTGAATCCCTTGGGATTACGTGGAGTTTTTGCATGAATTGCTCATAAAATGGTGCTCTGAACGTCATCTAAGTCACAACTAGAGATGAGCGAAGAAATGAAAAAATTCGATTCGACTGATTCGGCGAATTCGTGGACAATATTCGATTCGAGTCGAATAAATTCGCTGTGAATTTAACTTAAAAAAGGGTGTTTCTAGGCTTCAGAGAGACTTAATATTAGTGCAGAACACTACCTTTAATTTAAATGCCCTTGGAGTCTGCTGGGGAAGAGAAATAATACTGTCAGGCAGTATGACATGCAGATGAGTGCCGTCGATCTTAGAATTCACCGCGCACACTTCACTCATTTGGCCAGTCACGGGGCCCAAAACCAGTGTTTGGAGCCACAGTGTGGCGGTGGAGTCAGCAGCAATGGGAGGCCATACAGCAACCTATGACAAAATGGAAACCAGCAGGAGTGTGAGGAGACCTGAAAGTGGCACATGGCAGAGTGGGAGCAATGGGAGGCGGTACAGGGACCCAGGTCACACTGTGGGCCCAGCAGCAGCGTGACCAGGCGGTACGGGGGTCCATGGCAGATTTGGGGCCTGGCAGCACCTATGGGAGGCCTGTAATCTGCCAGCACCCTATGACAAAATGGAACCCTGGGCTGGGGCAGGCAGAACCGCCGTATCTTTATCTCGGTTTTCCAGGCCACCGAATGGCGACGCTGCATATGCTGACGCAACGCTGTAGTCCCAACATGGGCCCCCTGGCCACGCTTGACTTTCTGGCCACATAGTCGACATTACGGCTACGTTTACTTCCTCGGGCGGCTTGACGAAAAATTGCCACACCGCAGAGTAGGAAACTTTGCCCCCGATACTCCTCACTGGCTGACTGCTACTTCCTCCGTGCACACCGGCACCATACTGGCCGTGGTGGTAGGCTGCGTGGAGTGGAGCTGGGTGCTCTACTCCGTGGCCGTTTGCCTCCACTGACACTGCTGCGACCCTGCTGCCTCCTGGCAGCAGCAATGGGAGGCCGTACAGGGACCCATGAGAGACTCTGGACTTGGCAGCAGCATGAGGAGGCGGTATATAGGGGCCCATGGCAGATTAGGGCCTGGCAGCAGCTATGGGAGGCCCGTAATCTGCCAGCACCCTATGTCAAAAAATTCAACACACCAGCAGTGTGAAGAGACCTGAATGTGGCACATGGAGAGAGTGTGGCGATGGAAACAGCAGCAATGGGAGGACCCGTACAGGGACCCATGAGAGACTCTGGACTTGGCAGCAGCATGAGGAGGCGGTAAGTATATGGGGCCATGGCAGATTAGGGGCCTGGCAGTAGCTATGGGAGGCCCGTAAATCTGCATCAGCACCCTATGTCAAAAAAATCAACACACAGCAGTGTGGTGAAGAGACCTGAATAGTGGCACATGGCAGAGTGTGGCGATGGAAACAGCGAGCAATGGGAGGCCGTACAGGGACCCATGAGAGACTCTGGACTTGGCAGCAGCCATGAGGAGGCGGTATATAGGGGCCCATGGCAGATTAGGGGCCTGGCAGTAGCCTATGGGAGGCCGTGTAATCTGCCAGCACCCTATGTCAAAAAATTCAACACAACAGCAGTGTGTGAAGAGACCTGAATGTGGCACATGGCAGAGTGTGGCGATGGAGACAGCAGCAATGGGAGGCCGTACAGGGACCCATGAGAGACTCTGGACTTGGCAGCAGCATGAGGAGGCTCGAGGGTCGGTATATAGGGGCCCATGGCAGATTATGGGGGGCCTGGCACAGCCTATGGGAGGCCCGTAATCTGCCAGCACCCTATGTCAAAAAATTTCAACACAACCAGCAGTGTGAAGAGACCTGAATGTGGCACATGGCAGAGTGTGGCGATGGAAACAGCAGCAATGGGAGGGCCGTACAGGAAAACCCATGAGAGACTCTGGACTTGGCAGCAGCATGAGGAGGCGGTATATAGGGGCCCATGGCAGATTAGGGGCCTGGGCAGCAGCTATGGGAGGCCCGTAATCTGCCAGCACCCTATGTCAAAAAATTCAACACACCAGCAGTGTGTGAGGAGACCTGAACGTGGCACATGGCAGAGTGTGGCGATGGAGACAGCAGCAATGGGAGGCCGTATACAGGGACCCATGAGAGACTCTGGACTTGGCCAGCAGCATGAGGAGGCGGGGTATATAGGGGCCCATGGCAGATTAGGGGCCTGGCAGCCAGCTATGGGAGGCCCGTAATCTGCCAGCACCCTATGTCAAAAAAATTCAACACAACAAGCAGTGTGAGGAGACCTGAAAGTGGCACATGGCAGAGTGTGGCGATGGAGACAGCAGCAATGGGGAGGCCGTACAGGGACCCATGAGAGGACTCTGGACTTGGCAGCAGCATGAGGAGGCGGGGTATATAGGGCAGCCCCATGGCAGATTAGGGGCCTGGCAGCAGCTATGGGAGGCCCGTAATCTGCCAGCACCCTATGTCAAAAAATTGAAAACACAAGCAGTGTGAAGAGACCTGAATGTGGCACATGGCAGAGTGTGGCGATGGAAGACAGCAGCAATGGGAGGCCGTACAGGGACCCATGAGAGACTCTGGACTTGGCAGCAAGCATGAGGAGGTGGTTATATAGGGGCCCATGGCAGAAATTAGGGGCCTGGCAGCAGCTATGGGAGGCCCGTAATCTGCCAGCACCCTATGTCAAAAAATTGGAAAACACAAGCAGTGTGAAGAGACCTGAATGTGGCATTGGCATGGCAGGAGTGTGGCGATGGAGACAGCAGCAATGGGAGGCCGTACAGGGACCCATGAGAGACTCTGGACTTGGCAGCAGCATGAGGAGGCTGGTATATAGGGGCCCATGGCAGATTAGGGGCCT